AATAAAAAACGAATTTTATATATATTTTGTGTTTAGTAATTTAAGTTCTAATTCCGATTGTGGTACGAAAAGTATAAAAATTCGAGTAGAAAATGCGGCATTTTTTTCAAACTTTTTTACAGTATCCATTGGCATTAGGTAATCCTAAAATACAAATGATTCAAAAAATAAATGAAAGCTAATACCAGCTGATAGCCGATTGCCTTTGAGCAAAAATATGATCAACAACGGATATATATATATAAAGTATATATATATATATATATATATATATAGCTCGGTGGGTATTTTACATTTATTATGAAACTGAGATCTATTATATTTAATGATTTATCTGTTAAACAATAATAATAATATGATATGTATATTCGTGATCATCATGAACAACAAGCCGAGTTGATCTGGCCTTGTCAATCTGTCTCTCTATCTGCATTAACACACGGAACTCAGAGACTGTAAGAGCTAGGGACTTTCAATTGGGAATATAGATTTCTTATATATATATGCAACTGAATAACGGGATCGAGCATTACGATGTTCCGCTACGATGTTTGTTTGGTAGAAATTCCGGTAATTGGGTTTCAAAAAATTGTAAGTGTAGAAAGCCACATAGAAATATACAGAGTATAGTGTATAGTGTATAAGGTATTTAGAAACTTTGATGCTGCCTAGTTGTGAACATTATTTGATTGATTATTCAATTATTAATGTTTTCGCCCATTACCGCTTAACATGCTTATGTATTGTGTATTATTATATAGTTATGATTATTATTATTAAGCTGCCATTGTGCGGCAATTAAAGTTTCAACTAATCATTAGACAACAACAATAACAGTAATAACAACAATTGTGTGACAATAATATCGTTTTGTTGTTGCTATTATTATTATTGCTATTGCTATTGTTATTGTTATTGTTATTATTGCTGTCGTGTTTTTTTGGTGATGGCTAACACTAAAATGGCCGGCAGCTGGGCTTGAAGATCCAAGAGATGCGTTCATTATATGCTCATATGTCCGACAGCGAAACAACTTAATTACACAACAATAGAAACAACAACAACAACAGCAACAACAAACAAACAACATTTGAACAATGGCATTTTGGCAAGTTTTACAACGGCTCTTCAGTTTTTTTTTTGTTTTTTTTTTGTGTGTTTGACAGCTCTTCTTTTTTGGGCCTTTGGTACTTTTGAAGCTATTGCCCAAAAATAAAAAAAGCAACAAAAAAAAAAACAATAAAGAAATAAATCTAACTGAACTTTAATTGTTCATAATTAAGTTTGTCGAATTGGAATTGAAAATGGAATTGTGTGCGTACTGTGTGTGTGTACTCCTTATAGTTAAGTAAATAAATCTCGACACATAATTGACAGTCGCAACACTTTTTTGGGTAATCCGAAACTCGAAACTCGCAACTCAAAACTCAAAACTCAAACTCAAAGTCCAACTCCTTCTGCGAGGTATTTATTTGTTTGTCTTTTGTCTTTTGGGCAACTTTCGCACTCGACGCGAGCCACTTGAGAGTTAAAGCGATAATTAAATCATTTGTCGGCTTGTCAACTACCAGAAATCGAACAAATTGAGACACCCTGTTTCTCTGTACGATCAAAAATAAATAAGAACAGATGAACTGATGAATCAAAAATCTCAGCAGCTTTCTCAGGTATGTGCATGTTGTGTGCTGTGAGAATCACACGTCAAAATATTTGCAAAACAAAGCTGCAAGTTGAAGGACAAACAGCTAAAGGACATATCTGCAGGTATGTCCCTATGTACATACATACAAAAATATGTATATACATTTATTTATGTATGTGCTGCTTGTGTCCAAGACTGTAGCCAAATGATCGCCAGCTGAAAGATCCGTATGCCAAATACTGAACTCAACTGACTGAACTATGCAAGCATATTAAATTACCAGGTATCATCATGATGCCCATAATGATCATTACTATACTCGCCACGCTCATTATGCTCATTACTAAGCGCTTAGACGAAATACAATATGTATTTTGACAGGACAAGATTTAGATTAAATGTTTTTGTTTTCTTATTTATTTTTTATTATTATTATTATTGGCATTGTCTTGCAGGTCGCAGTAATTGCAAGTTAATTAACAATAAAAATCAATGAAATGGGAAAATTCGCATTAAAAATGCTCACAGCATGAATCATGCCCCCAGTTCTCCATTCCATTTCCATTTCCATTCCAAACCTGCGCAGGAGTAAAAATATCAAATTACACCAATCCGCATTCTTTTGCTACGCAATTGCGATGCGATCACTCACTCTAACCTTCTGCGCCTGCTTCAGGCACAATAAATGCATCCAACTGAGCACAAGCCATCTCTCTCTCTCTCGCACTCTCTCTCTCGGACTCTCTCTCTCGCTCCCTCTCCGTCCCTCGCTCTTTCTCTGTCACACTCGCACTCACACACTAAAAACTCAAAACGTCTCCAGACTGCGTGGCAACTGCGAACGCAGACAAAGAGACGACGACGACGACGACGGCGGCTGCGAAGTAGTCGTGAGAGCGCGTAAATACACACTATTTAACTACCCAGCAGCGAACTAGTGAATGACTAGCGAATGACTTTATCATTACCGAACTCATTCTGCATAATTAATTACCGGTTAACACTCTTGTCGTCAAGTGTTATGCCAATTTGTTATACTGGAATAAGTCATAAGATTGCATATATTATATTATGTTATCTTATAAATATATATAACTACATATCAATTTTAGCGTACCGATCCGAGCCCGTAGAACGCATACAAAAAAAAAGTATTATGAATTCAAAGCGCCTAAAAAGTTTAGATTACGAATTGAATTCGTAATGGTGGCTTTTCGCTGCTGGGTACTCAACAACTGATTGTTGTTGGTATTTTTAGGCTTTGGCATTTCAATTGTTTTACGGACTTGCGGCAGACAAACTTTCGCGTGGGCTGCGGTTTCATCAGTTGCTCTTGCGGCCTCCTCTTGCATGCCACGCGTGGGCGTGAGAAAAACCATTGCAGGTGAGTGGAGTGCGATCAAAGAGCACAGAGCAGAGCACAAGAGCACAGTTATTTGGCAAGTGCTCTCTAGTTCTCGTCGCTTTCCAGTCTTTCTTTAGGCAAATTGATAGCTCACCTATAAAATAATTTTCGGAAATTTGTTTTTTGATAAGATTTTGAAAATTGTAATTTCCATTAAATATTAAACATAACTTTTGTACAGTTAAAAAATGTATTATGCATAAAATTGACTATATATCCATTATTAGAAATGTTTTTGACTTCGGTTGGCGCACAACTTTTCTGCTTTTCTAACTGTTCTTTTGCAGCGCGCCGTGTAAATTGTAAATGCCAATTTTGGGCATTTTTAATGCGACATTTTAATTAGACTGCTTTTTTAGTGGCACGGCTGCTGTCTCATTGTTTGCCTTTCGCGCCCAAAACAAATCTCGCAGCAACAACAACTACAACAACACATAAACAAACAGATAAAAAAGACACAAAAAAACAACAACTGCAGAGCATAGTTTTTACAACTCCAAGTGAGTCTCGGCTTGTTTTTAAGGCTATAAATTGGCGTCCTTCATTCAACGAGTGCAACGCAAAGCAACGCAGAAACAAATCCCCCCCTCCTCCCCTTTCCAGCAACACAGCCTTACAGAAAGCAGCAGGCAGCAGGCAGCAAGCAGCGAGTGTCTCAAACAATACAAAATGGGCACTACACGCACACACACAAGCAAAGACCCACCACTACACGTGCAGTTCGCGGCACGCATACTAACAAAACGATATAGAACGACTGGAAGGCTTCCAGCGTACTGGAAGTGTTGCGTGTGTTAGAGCCGTTCAGCTAGCCACTCACCGGTGCACATCAGCTGTGCCGCTCTCGCACGCACACATTATGTGTTCTGCACATGCGCCATATTGGGATCTCACGTTGCGCTGTGAAGGGGAAATTTGCTGCTGGCAAGCGTTCGCTCTGTGTATGCTCAGCGCGCTTGTGTGTGCGTGTGTGTGCGAGCAGTGCAGCTAGCGTAACGGCAGCGGCCGACTGACGCCGCCCCTCAATGTTGGCGTCGATATACCGTTGCGTGGCAGCGACGCCGACAGCGCAGCAGCGTCGCTGCGACAGAGACGACGACGACGCAGCCAGCGAGGACAAAGTCAGGCAACAAAATCCCGTTGCCGTTTGCCGTTGCCATTGCCGTTGCCCGTGCAAATTGCCGTTGCCGTTGCCGTTTGCTGTTACCGTTGGATGAGAGACTTTCTGGCCAAGTCACAACCACCAAAGCTGGGGCAGGCATCGACGTAGACGACGGCGACGACGACGACGACAACGACGACGACGACGATGGCTATGGCGATGGCGATGGCGATGACGATGATGACGACGACAAAACTCCAGCTGCACATTAAGTCAGGCAACAGTTTAACGTGGAAATTATTGCGAATTTGTTGTCTGCTTTTGCGACAGGCGACAGGCGCGACAAAAAACGCGTGGCAAAAGCACGCGACCGTATTTTTCACCAAGTTGCAGCAGCGCAAGCAAAAATAACGCAAATATCGCCAACAACAACAACAATCATTTTTTTAGTGTTCTGTATTCTGTTAAGTGCAGTTATTCTCGCCGGCCAACAACCAAACACACGACACACACACACGCACACACACACACACACACGCACATCGATAATTGCGTGTAAACAAGCAGCCGGCACATTAGCCAAGCAGCGAGAACGGAATAGCATGCCATGAGAGCAAGAGCGAGAGCGAGCGAGAGAGAGAAGAGAGGGAATCAAAAATCGGTGAATTTAAAGCAAAAAACACACGCAAATAATAAGAATAATAACAAACAACAAAAATAGCTAACCTTTTACTCAAATGATTCCGCGAAAAACGCTTGGGGAAACAGTTCGAAAAAACAAAAAATACGCTTTAAACGCTTACGCTTCGAACTCGAAGTCGAACTCGAACTCGAATGCGTTCTAATTTTTAATAACTGATTAAGAGAGTCGCTCTCTCTCTTCTCCCGAGAGAGTGAAGATAACAATAGCGTTGGCAGCAGCAATAATTAGGCATTTTCGAACTAAACTTCAGTTCACTTTCAATAAGCAATTAAGTGCGAGAGAGCGAGCGAGAGAGAGAGAGAGAGAGAGAGAGAGAGAGAGGTAGCGAGATAGCGCGATGCCGCAGCGTTCGCCGTTTGCTATACAAGAGCTGCTCGGCTTGGCCGTTGTGGCAGCAACATCAGCAGCAGCAACTACAACAACAGCGACAACTACTGCTGCTACTGCTGCTGCAATAACAACAACAGCGACAACAACATCAGCTGGTTCAGAGGCGCCAACCGATTTAACAACAGCAACACAAGCAACACAGGCAACAATAACAACAACAACAACAAATGTGGCAGCAGCAAGCACAACGCACTACAACAACAACAGCAGCAGCAGCACAGATGCAACAACAGCAGCAGCAACGGCAGCAGTCAGCTTGGCGGCGATTGAGCCACAACAGCAACAGCAACAACAATTTAGAGATCACCGGCAACAACAACAACAACAACAAGAGCAACAACAACAACAACTAACAATGGCTGCTGCCTCGAGAATGGCGTACTTTAATGCACATGCAGCGGTTGCCGCTGCCTTTATGCCCCATCAGCTGGCTGCTGCAGTGCATCATCATCATCATCATCCGCATCCACATTCACATCCACATCCGCATTCGCATTCGCATCACCCTCATCCGCACCACCATCAACATCCGCATTCGCATCCGCATCCGCATTCGCATCATACGCAACAACAGCAACAACAACAACAGCAGCCACCGCCGCCGTCAGCCATGCAAATGCCACCGCATCACCCGCTGCTGCATGCAGCACAAGGTAAGCCAATCCCCCCACCTCCCACTACCCACCAGCCACCATATACAATTGTCGCTACAGTTACAGTTACGTTTACAGTTAGCTTAAGAGTTGAGTGCAACGCAATTAGCAATCGGCAACTGTGTTTTTGTCACCTCGTTCAATGAGTGCGAACAGAGCGACAAACATAGACACGAACGGGAACAGAGACAAAGCGTATCGAAACGAAAAGAAGCGAAAAGAAACGAAACGAGAGCCGCTTAGTTTGCATAAAAAATAAATTAATCAACGAGCCATCGACAAGCCCAGCAAGCACACACACAGCCACACACACACACACACACGGCAACAGTGAGTAGGGCTCAAGCAACAGCTTCGGCTTCGGCTTCGACATCGGCTTCGGCTTTTGAGGCACTTCACTCCACCTCCACTCAAGTTGAGCTGCTAATTGCAATGGCAATTGCTAAACTCAAATGCATGTGTAAGTGTATATACATATATACATATATATGTGTGTGCAAGAGCATTGACAACAGTGGAGCAGAAAATTGAACATTTGTTTTCTTACAACTTGTTTTGGCTTTTCTTTCCATCTATTCCAAATTCAACATTCCATTTTAGATTTTAATAGGCGATTTGCATCTTTTGAAATAAAAACAAATTGTTTGCTTGAAAAAATTAAATAAATATGCTTGAAAAAAAGGTTTTCACCCACCTCGATAAAACAACAAAAAGATTATATTTATAAATTTGGCTCATTTTGCCTCACTGTAAAAAACGATTTTGTCTGCGGATCAGCGACAGAAAAAATCATTTGCGTGAAGCGAGCAGCAAGAGAGAGAGAGAGAGAGAGAGAGAGAGTGCGCGAGCTTGAGTCGAGCAAGTGGCAAGTGGCAATATCACCGCAGCGAGACGGGCAACAACAACCAAAACAACAAACAGCAGCAAACAGCGACTGAAGCTCGCACAACAATTGACTCACACACACACACACACACATCCACAAATACATAAGCCGACAGATAATCTGGCTGCTTGAAGTGCCATCTGTTATTGTTATTATTGTTATTATTATTTTAATTAGCGTTAAAATGTCATCGTCATCACTCGCATTGTTGTTCACTGTGCCAAATTGTTGCCAGCCTAAATTGAAGCTTCGCTTTACTCCCTCCCACTCACACTCTCTCTCTGCCACTCTCTCTACCATTCTCTCACTCACTCTCTCTCTCGCAAAAGTTCAATTTGGAGTTTTGTTTGTAAAGAACTTCCGGGCGATATTTCTTTTGCACTGCTTGCTTTCTCTTTTCTTTCTGCATTGTTGTTGTTATTATTTGGTTTGGTTCATTTATTAATTGTACACATACATGTGTATTTACATATGTATTTACATATTTATAAATATATACACACATATACACACACACGTCTGTGTATTTATTTATCGCATATTTTGTCTACTCTGCGCCTCTGTTCGTGTAATTTGTTTAATAAATGTGAGAAAGAACTTTTGGCACAGCTTTTGCCGTTGGTTACTGGTTACTGGTTACTGTTATTGTTGGCGCTTTTTACTCGCGTCATCTTATTTAATTTTGCATATTGTTGTTGCCGCCGTTGCCGCCGTTGCTGCTACGTTCTACGTTTGCCTTCTTTTTTTTTTGTTTGTCTCTCGCTGATTCTGTACAATTTTTTGTTGATTTTTCCCATTTGCCCCTTTCGTCAATTAAAGTCGCGTCAAGTTTGGGGCCAAAAGCCCAAGCGGATTTCCTGCTGCAGAGCCACCCAGTCAACACCAGTGGCGCCTCCCCGCACCCGACTCCCCCTCGTCCCATCGTCCCATCGCACCCGCCTCCCCCCACTCACCCAAAAAACGGTCACACTCAGCCAGGCCATTAAGTGCCTTTGATCTTTTACATAGAGACAGATCGACAGACAGACGAGGAGAAAGAAAAACCCAAATCGGAAAATTGAAAAATTTGAAAATTACATACATAAATATGTACATGTGCTTATGCAAATACATGGATTTATTTGTGCACCTAAATAGTGTTTTTTGTTTGTTTTTTATTTAATTGACAATTTTCACTTTGACTATATTCGCTATTTGCTGTGACATTTGTTTTGATGTGTATAAAACCACAACACACACACATTTATAGCGGTCTTTTAACTTTGAAGGCGCCACCTGGTGGCATTGACAGGGACACTGCACACACACACACATATATTGTATATTTCAGTATATGTCCAACGTAAATTAACCATTTAGAAATATTTGAGATGCTTGTGAAATTTGACAAAAATGTTGACGGCTTCCGCAAATTATTTTTAACAATCTCGTAAATAAACATGGTTGAAATTCAATCGAGATAAATACATAAATCATAAAAAAATAATAATTATAATAATAATAATCAGAATTATAAATGATACAAGAAAATTAGATAAATTAAAATGCCAAAAAAAATTAGATTTTCAATTAGCCATGAAAATTGGTTAATTCGATCAATTAAAATTTAAAATTTTGAGTTGTTCTCTAATCAGTTTACAAAAATTAGTGAAAACTTATTGCAAAAGACTCTGATAGCATTTGAGCAAAATAATTACAAACATCAGACAAATATATCAAAATATACATCATGAAATTGAGGTGGCAGCAGCCTAAAAATGGGTCGAAAGGGTATAACGAAGTTGCGCAAATGTATGTAAAGGGCAGAAGGACGCATCTGCGACCCCATAAGGTAGATGGTATATTGTGAATCAATAGTCGAGTCGATCAAATTGGGAATATATGTTTCCGTAGACCAGCTTGAACACAGATTACCCTAAGTCATAGGAACGACTTAAATGATGTCCCGCTGGATTCTGGCTCTGAATTTAAATCTGATTCCAACTCCGGTTTGACACTCTGATTTAATATAATTTTCGTGCATGTTTAGGTAGATAATAGACATAGCCTTGCAGTGTTGCAATACATAATTATCGGGAGACTGCTGCTAATTGCTGCGTGTCAGTGGTGTCAGAGTGAGGCAAACGCCTTTTCCGTCCATCAGGCGGCAAGTTGCTGCGACTGCCTTTTGATATTTGAGACAGTTTGCTAATAGCCTCTGCTTCTGCCTGCCCCCACCCACTGGCCACTGCACTCCACGCCTCCGCTGTAAGATTGTTGTTTGTTGGCTGATAGAAATAGTCTTAATTGTGTGCGTGCTCAATGTGTGCGGTCTGGTGTCTCTATATAGGCTACAGCTATATAGACACCAGACCCTGAGACGACATATTTGCTTTGACTTTGCTTTGATTTTGCGTTGACGTAAATTCAGAAAAAAAAAATCAAAGATCGACAAGGAAAAAAACAACAACACACAACAAAATACACAAACAACATACAAAAATTTCATCGTTTTCGCGCCCTCCACTGAGGCGTGTGAGCGAACTGCCTAGCCGCCCCTCCCCCTCCCCCTCCTACGCCCGGTGCCGGGTCCGGGTCCAGTCAAGTGCCCCAAACGCGTTGCCCGCCCGCCCGCTGGCGCTTGCCTCGACTCGCCTCGCCTCGCCTTGCCTTGCCTTGCCGCATGCCACTTGTGTGCATTGTCTGAGGTGTGAACATTTTTATGACGACGTTGCCAACACGAGTGCAATTGTTGTTATTGCTGCTGTTGCTGCTGGTGCTGCTGCTGCTGCTGCTGATGCACTTTAGTCGCCGACCTCGAACGGTCCTACCCACTCTCCGCCCCCTCCCAACGTACTCAGGCGGTCACAGTTTGTCGCTTTGATTTTTGTGAATTTCTTTTTGCAGCAAATTTAAAAGTCAATTAAAGCAACTTGACAAACGAATCTGAGTGCCACTTAATGGGTTAATTTGCTGTGTGTGAGTGCTTGTGTGTGTGTGTGTGTGTGCGAGTGTGTGTGCGAGTGTGTGTGTGATTGTGTGAGTATCTGCAGCCCTAAAAGTTGAGTCACATTTGACATTAAACAGAATTAGCCGCAATTCAATTTAATAAATGTACAAAATTCACAAATAATTACAAATCTCCCTAATAATAATAAATTTAATAATAACAGATAATTATGCATGTATATACAGAGATACTTATACATATTCAGATACATACATGTATATATGCTTATACACTCGGAAAAAGAATTGCCCTGAATTTTAGCAAATCGCCCTGAAAACTAGAACATTTTTAAATAAACGAGCAAAAAAGGTAAAATGATTAGAACGTTTTTTTTTTTTAAATTTTTCAGAACTATTTTCTATAATTAAAAAATGCAAACTGAGTTTCTGAGAAAAAATTCTTCGGAATTCTTCTGAATGAAAATAGTAAGAGTTTTGCTGCTGTCTGAATTGGAGACCAAATAGCTCAGTTGGAGGGCAACCAACTAAGGAGAAATAAATTATATGCATTTTATAGGCTATTTGAGGTCTTAAAATACTTATGTTTAATAATATGAGTAACAAGCAAGCTACTATTAAATTAGAAACATTTTTGTCCCTGGAATTCTGTAAATACAAAAAGACAGAATCATCCGGATTGGAAATATACTTTCCGAATAATAAGGCGCCACAAGTAATTTTTTTCTAAGTGTAATAATAGCAGTTAATTGTGCATATGTGTATATGGGCTATATGTGTATGTACATATATATATAGCAGATAATCATATGCTAGATTATATGCTGCGTCACATGGTAATCAGCGGGGCAATCGTGCCCAAAAGCACAGCTAACAGATACGGCGCACAGATACAGCTACAGATACAGATACAGCTACAGATACAGATAGAGGCACATGGCTATTGAGATACAGATACATTTCTGTAGCTTTAGGTAGACAGCTTGAGCTTGACGCTGCGCTAATTTTATAGCGCAAATAAACACGATTTGGCACTTGAGCCTCTTTGTGCATCTCTTCGGTTGCTTCGCTTCTTCAGCGGTTTTGAACTCACTTTGAATGTACTCACTTTTTTCGATTTTTTTTCTATTTTTTTGTGCTGTCTTCAATTTGTTTTGATTTATTTGGTGGCTATTTTTATCGGCTTTCACTGTTTGCCGTCGATGACTGCTAATTATGCAGCGCATTTTCATTCATATTCATGCGAGTATTCATTTGAAGTGACCACTCAGCGATTTGAGCAAGATACAGCAAATACATGGTGTATATATATATATATATATATATATATATGTATAGTTACAGAGCTGTTCGGTACAAAGCGTAAGTGAGTGTATTCACTTGATACATCAGGTACTCGGAGTCAATCATTTGTAAATCATTTAATATTTTAGTTACTTCCGCATCTCGTGGACTTGAAAAACTTGTTGCCGTACACGCTTTCACCGAAGTGAATACACTCAATTGCATAATTGAATATATACTTCGTCAAATTCATTTACAGGACAAAAACACTTATTCATTGATTTGAATCGCAATCAAAGGAAAACTATAAGTGAATCATTTGGTTATCACACAAAAAAAGACTTGGATACATATTTAACGTACTATTCATTTAATCCACAAGGTTTGCCTATTTCTATTATTTACTTATTACTTTCAATACACTTCTTTAGAAGGTGATAAGGAACACAGATGGGTATATTTTATGGTTTATGAGTATATATCAAACATAAATACTTATGATGGAAACTGCGTTTGTGCTTAAAAAATCTCACATTAAATTCACACTTATCAATTGAACCACACATATTAACTTGAAATTGATTCACTCCACTGATAGCATAGAGTTATGTGAATGTATTCACAGTATATATATTCAAAAAGGGCAAAAGCAGATTCACAGCAAATAATAATGACTCATTGAGACTGTAGACTAGTTGATGCGATGAATGAATTCAAGACGAGTACTCGAAACTAAATGGGTTATTATTGATATGTTTTTATTATTATTATTATTGTAATATATTAAAAATTCCATGAAATGCCAGAATTTAATGATATCAAATTCACATCATTATCAATTGACTCCGAAATATTAATTTCGAATTTATTCACTCCACTAATAACATAAACTTAAATTAATGTATTTGTTTTTTTTTTATATTTTTTTTATTTATTTTTTTTTTGCATATTTAGCAAACAGATTCGCAGCAAATAGTCATGACTCATTGCGATTGCAGACTAGTGGATGGGATGAATGCATTCAAGTCGAGTACTCAAAACACGTACCTACCGCTAGCTGCCATTCACTTGTGCCGCACCGCGCAAACACTTGAAGAATTTGCTGCTTGTTGTTGTTGTTATTTTGTAGACACTGAAGCGGCTACTTTGCCTGCCCCCGGCCATCCACTACCTGTATCAGAGAGAGAGAGAGAGGGAGAGAGAGAGATAGCGATAGATCACGACGCGACTTTTTCGGGGCCGCTTGGGGCACACTTTGTGTGGTCGTGCGATTAGAAAAATGTGTTGCAAGTTTTCTCTACAAATCAACAAAAGCTCAAAAGCCTAGCGCAGAAAGTAAGGGCAGCTACTGCGAGTCTGCAGAGTGTGCGGAGTGTGTAGAGTGTGCGTAGTGTGGTGGGGCACAGAAGAGGGGCAAGTCGGTTTGTGTCGACCCATATCAGCTATTGTTTAGCGTTAATCAGTTTATAAATACTTCGTCACTTGCATTTCTATAGAGCTCTGCGTTTCCACGTACACACACACACACACACACACACACACACGCACAGACATGTGTGTATATGTATGTTTCTGCATATACTCACAATTCTTTACACAAATTTCGCGCAGTATCGAATTTCTCAATTTATAGAATTCTTGTTAAATCAGCAACGGCAACAGGGGCTGCTGCTGCTGCTGCTGCTGCTGCTTCTGCTACTGATTGCCGTTGACATGCCACAAAGGAGTTCAGTCGGTGGGGGGAGGGGACGGTTGCGATGTTAGGGGCTTGGTAACGAGGCGAAAGCTAATAAATGTAGTTTTCAGTTTGATGTATGCTGATTGTTGACGGCCTCCGCTCATTCACATCATGTAGCGCGAGCCGGGTAGGAGCACTGAGCTTGCATACAAACACACACACACACACACTCACACACACATACACATTCACTTAGACATACACACACACGCACACACACTCGCTCGAGTTGTGCGCATATTGTGCTTGCCGCATTTTTCGAAATGCGTCAGCATCATCAACATTGCCGCACAACAATTGAAAGGCAACCCCCTCTTAAGTCCCCCCCCCCCCCCCCCACTCCCCCTCCGTTCCCCTACCCCACCTCTGGCATGCCCTCGACAAGCCCAGCCACGCTGTCCGCTAAAGCGACCGCAAACGAACGCCTTGAAACAATGAAACATCGAGCAGAAATTAGCGGGGTTGTCTGTCAAATTTGATTTTGCTTTGATATGTCACTTGGAGGCTCCGAGACTGAGCTGAGCTGAGCTGTGCTGAGCTGAGCCACTCAATTTGCATTTCTGGCGCTGGTCTTGAATTCATTTGCGGCCTGCAATATGCAGAGTGTGGACCAGGGGTAGGGGTAGTGCTACGGCAAAGAAGAATTAAGGCGCGGTCAGGGTCAGGTCGTACCGGTCGACTGTATTTATAACGCTAATAAATGCAACGACTGATGTGCAAAACTACATACATACATACATACATACATACATACATATGTGTCAGTGCTGTGGAGCCAATTCTTGTGCCTATCGTGTATTCGTCTGGAGAACAGCGAAGGTTCAATTGAGTGTACCGATTAGGCAAACATACATCAACATTCGTAACATTCACTTCAGGTTGAATGGAATTAGTATTAATGCTAAACAAAAATGAAATCGATAAGCAGTTTATTAATCATTTCGCCTTTAGATATTTTGATGAGTGAATTATCGATATACTTATCGATAAGTACACTAATGATCGGATAAGTAATCAATATGCATATGCATATATCTGTGCATCGTTATATATGCTAACAGCCACTCAACGTAATTGTGGCTGTTGTCTAATAATCTAAAACACTCATTACTTAATGCATTACAATATTATTGATATTATCTCTCTCTATTTCTATATCTATCTCTCTCTCTGTCTGTTCCCCGCAGGATTTCCACAGCTGAAGAACTTTGCTGGCACTGGAACATGTTTACCTGGTAAGCTAAAGCACTCGCTGGTCCTTCCAAATTTGTACACGAATTAAAGTGGTCGCCCAAAGGTAGGCAATAATCAGGCTCAGATGCAATCCTTGCAAACTTAACCACAGCCAAAGACTTTGTGCTTTGCCCAACAGAGGGCAGCACTCGCTCTCTGCTCTCTCTCTCTCTCTCTATATATATATTTATAAATATATATATATATATCTGTGTGCACGCTAATTAATGGGCATTCCAGCGCTTCATTTCGAATCGGTTACTCGATGCTCGGCGGGCTGTAAAAGGTCCTGGCAAACACATAAATTTCTCAAATTGCTAATAAAATAAACAATTTAGCTTAAAACAAGCAGCAGAAATGTAAAAAAAAAAACACAACACACAACATGTGTGTGTGTGTGTTGAATGTGTGTTGTTTGAATGTGAATGCCGGCAGAAGTCAACTAATGAAATTTTCATTTCATTTTGTTGCATTCGCAACGGGTAATAAATATTTTCAACATACGCTTTTATACGCAATTTACACGCGCATACATCTCCTCGTCACACATCCTCTCACTACATGGACTCAAGGACATGTGTGTGTGTGTGTGTGTGTGTGTGTGTATATGTGCGTTACTTAACCCTTTTGGCACACACATGCCCAAATAAAAAAGAAGCCAAAGAAATGAGAGGCGCACATAAACTTGTCTAATAAGAGGCACAAAAACCAATTGAAAGCGTGCTGCGCCCGCATAGCAAGTATCATTCGTTAGGGTGAGGGGTAAGGTTGGGCTGTGCGAGAGAGAGGTGTAGTAGTGTTCAGTGCAAATTGAATTGTTTGCCCTAGCATTAACCAAGAACTGGTACATTTTCTCCATAGAAAAACAAGTCACGGAATAGTGACAATTCGCGTCTGATCCAATCGATAGTGTCAGAAACAGTAAGCCTTACTTTTCAACTAAAATTATGGTTTGCTAAAGGCTTTCAACTATTATTAAAAAAAAGTTACAATTACAATCACACTTACATCTTACAATTACAATTATATCTCAGAGCCAGCAATTGTTGTTTATATTTATCATTTAATGTTCATTTATTGTTTGCTGGTTTTTTTTTTTATAATTTAAATATGTTTTTCGCTAGTTTTTTTATATATATATTTTAATATAAAAATGGAATATACAATATACTAAATAAAAACTAAAAACAAATATTAATAATTGTATATTAATCGATGATGTTCAAGTTTGTATTAGAAATAAATTATGATTATGGTAATTTTGTATTGTGCTGTTCTACAAATTAAGACAAATCTGCGATATTAATAATGTCTAAGTTAGTGGAAACCTTTTGCCAATAATGAGCAGAATATTATGTAATTGTTTTACTTCTCAAATATTTTTTTACTGGCTGCCGGTCAAGTGATATTTTATTTTGATTCGAATATATTTCGAATCCCGTCGGGATTCGTCTTCAGGGAGATATTCACATTCTTGCAGTCAGCTGTGGAGTCTAAAGTGTTTCCGTTAAATCCAATTAATACAACTTGAAACTGCAAACTTAAAACAATACACAGAAAAAGCATAACGTGAGAATTATTCTTTCTATGGTTAATTTAACCAACGGAAATGTTTTCTGTGTATATTATTCCCATCGTTTAGTTCAAGCATCTTTTTTCCATAAATAAGTAAGTAAGTTTTTTATAATTCTCCATGCTTATCTCTAAAGTAATCATCTGCATCTATTTAATATAAACTTAAGTTATTTATTTATTGTGAACTAAAAACAGTCTACAGTTTTTAAAAAGGTTTTCATAAATAAATATTTTAAGTTAAAATTCCGATTTAAATTGCATTTAATTAATAATTAATAAAAAGAAAAAATAAAATAAATTATGGAAGAAACAAAGAAAGTTTTAAAATGAAAATAGCCTAAAGTTTATTGCAAGGTTTGGGAAAACCCAGAAAAAGTTGTTAAGCGCTATTAGCTTAGTAACAAGAGAAGTAAAAACACTGACAAGTGTCCTACGATTAACCAGTAACGGAAGATTAATATGAATCTGCCTGCAGGACTACGATTTGCCCAGAAAATTCCTTTTTCGAATCGTTATTTTCAATCAAGTTATAAGTTTCAGTTGACGTTGCTCTGAGTGGAAACATTTACAATAATCAACAATATTTTGCTTTGGCCAGTTGAAGTTTCAGTTACTGCTGCTGTTGCCGCTGTCTTAGCCTAGTTAATTGCCTTTTTGTTGAGCTCACACTTGGGTCTAATCTCTAATCTCTGGGCAACACGAACTTGGCCACTTGGCAGCGCATTCTTGGCTATTCTGTTTTTATGAAGGCCTCAAGTGCGCTGCTGAAGTATTTTAGTAGCAGCCACTCGACGCTTGCATTCTCCACTTGCAGCAGCAGCAACAGCAGCAGCAGCAGCAGCAGCAATAAGAAGAACAACAGAAACAACAACAACAACAACAGCAACAATAATAAAGAAAAGCAGCCACTTTTGCTCCATTTGCGAGCGGATAGCACGATGAGCTCCACAAGTGGGGCAATTTCCCTTGACTCGACTCGAGTTGCGCAATCCACCAACCGGCCCAAGCAGAACCCAGATCCGAGAACCCAAGAATCCAGTGCCCAGAATTCCCAGTTGCGACCCCCACTTGCAGTGCTCTCTCTCCCCCTCCCCCTCCCCCTCCTTTTTTTTTGTGTTGCAGCCTCTTGTTGCTTTGTCTTGTCTGCCTGATGGTGCACTTGTCCCGGCTAAGATTTTAATTGGCATTTTTTCTTATTTTGCTGCGCAGCTACGCTGCGGGCGGAGGGGCAGTGAATGGGATTCCAGCCCTTAACCCTTGCTGTCTGCTCACAGCTCGCCATTGCCATGGAGCGTGTCTAAGTTTTATTTGCTGGCCATGGCGAATGCATCTGCCTGCCCCCGCAAGGCTGCTTAATTGAAACAAACACACAACCCACACACACACACACACACACACACACACACACACACACACACATCCACGCACATAGAGCACATGTGTGGAACCAATCGCATTTGGCTTCGCACCAGTTGAGTGAATCTTTGAATTGCCTCTGAGCTGAGCGGGGGAACAACGGATGCCAGAAAGAGGCATTCGTGTTGCCAACCTGTAGAACCTGTAGAACAGCTGTACTGTAATAATGCTCTTATGTTTTCATTTATATTCAATTATTCAAAATCTTTATTGACATTACTATATTATTTGAGGACGATTTGCCAAAGTAGAAACACTCTCACTCTCCTCGCAACTGTGCTTTGTGTGGCATGCATCCATTCCACAACTAACCGCATTTTTGCTTTGAATGCGTTACGTAATTTAATTAAGAGTCTGAATGGAAAACTGAATTGGTTGGCTCAGTAGCCAATGCGTCGAAGCCCAACAGTGTTTCAGTTAACAACGTTTACCAATCCGAAAGCGTCCCCTGCCACCTCCTCCCTTTTGAAACTCCGCCCCTCATCCGGTGATCGGTCCGAGTGTCCGAATGTTCACCGCATTCGTGCTATTTGCAGCACAAGTTACCGTTGCAAGATTTCACTAAACCCCAAAACATGAGCCACACTGCAACACACCCACACTGCAACACGCCCAACAGAAGCAACGCAAATATAACACACTCATTTGGCGACTGCTAAAAAATGAAAGAGCAAAAAGTTTAGTGCAAAAATTGCGCTCCCCGTTGTTGTTTTAGTTGATGTTCCTGTTGTTGTTGTTGTTATTGTTGCAAAATGGTTTGCACTTAAAGTTCGTTGTGTTCGCTGAGTCGGTGAAGCGGAAAGGTGGTTTCAAGCAATTGGTAGTTGAGAGGGGGCCACCGACATGGGTTTACCCCTGGCGGGAAGAGGGAATCGAAAAGAGGATAGAGGAAAGAGGGGAGAGGGTAGCGGGTAGCGGGTAGATGGAGCCAACAGCAATCACGTTAACCAACTTTGACACAAAGCTCAGGCTAAAACGCTCCAGCCGAGGGGCATGCTCCAGTGGTGGTCCGGGCGACTGAGGTGAGGTGTAGAACAGAACAGGTCATGGGGCAGGGTGCTGAAGTGTAGGGGTGCATAACAATGGCCGACGACGACGTGGTGAAGAAGACAAAGTCACACGGCAAGCAAGGAATCTAATTAACAATTTTCCATTGAGTGCGCAAATTACGGACGACGAACACCCAAACGACGGCAACGGCAACACCAGACAGCTTCGAAGTGGATACAGTCGGGATCGGGGCTGGGGCAACTGAAGGGTGCCGCTTCTAAAACTGGGTAGCTGTGTGCAGTAGCAATTAGGGAACAGGCGCTCAGAATGACGTCAGATAACCAATTTAATATATATATATATATATATTAAAATTTGAATTTATTTTTTTGGCGCGCATCTCGGAACATCTACGGAAATTTACAGTAAAGCAGTAAAGAAATTTCGATTTTGTACATAAGTTCATAAGTTCATATCACATCGGGATTATCATCAGTGTATATATAAAGGATGAATGTTGTGCGTATAACATCTCACACATAAATATTTGCTTACAAAATCGCTCGATTTAGGTTTTATAGTTTCTAAAGCAGGTTATCAAACAGAAACCAGAATCGGAACCACAGAACAGGTATTCAAAATTCTTTTAAATCCCATAAATCGGAACTGATATTATTTGTCTAAAAACGTTGAACTATGTTCGGGATACAACATAAAACAAATATAATAAAATAGTCCACCTGCTTTATGTCATAATAAATGTAAGAAACCCACAAAGCTATATCAAACATTCTCACCTAATTTTTCAAAAAATTAGGATCGCTTTATGTAACCGAATACGGTACAAAAGCTAGGCAAAAACACAGGAATCTCTACCTCTCTATTGGAACGAAGAAACGCATCAATCGAGTTTGGATTACATCGGTTCTAATAAAGATGATGAGGCTACAAAATTAACACCGATACATGTTAAAGGAGTTTTTTGGATTTGATTAAATGTTATATTTAAGTTTTGAAACAATAATACAAAATCAAAATATATGGTTAGAGTTTTTCGAGAACATAACTTGTGTAAAAGCTTCATATTTCGTTGCATACGGTTTCAGTTAACACGATGTTTACCAGGGACCTGGGCCCGGCGTTAGTCGAGGGCTACCTGCACAAGCGTTTCGTTTAGCAGTGCCTTTCATCGTACTTCTTTTAGCCAACCCTCCTCCGTTTTGTTACTTCTGTGGGTTTTTTTTTTATTTGGTGTTTTCGTTTTTTGATTTCTCAAGCAAATAATTCAATTTAATTTCTAATTAGGACAAAAAGAAAGCTAGCAAAACGTCAACAAATGCAAATGCGAACACAGACTGAGAGAGTGAGATGGACACACAAACACACACACACACACTCACGCACACACATATTCACACACTCACACACATACACTTATTCACACACTCTCACACACACACACTTGCACAAAAACGCAGCCACTTTGACGCTAATGCAAATTGCGACTCCCCCCGAAACGGGTCTGAATATGTTGACGACTGCTCTGCCGCTTTCGCAGTCGCAGTCGCAGTCGCAGTCGTCGTTGCTGCTGATGCTGATGCTGATGCTGGCAACGCAACCAACAACTCAGCCACTTTATTAGCGTATTTTGCCATGCAACTGTTTATGCGGCACACACACACACACACACACACACACACACAGTCGCACTCACACACATTGGATGTAGACTCACACATGAGCCACGAATTAGTCATTTTGTTGGTTACTTGATGCATGTCTCTTCTACGCCTCCGCCCTCCTCATGCAGCCAGCACTGACAATAAACGCACACACACACACACACACACACACACACGAAGACTTTGTGATGCCGGAACAAAAATGGCGCTCGAGCAGGGACACCGCATCAGCATCCAAAGGCGCCCGAGCTGGATGCGAGCAGTCAACGTTGGGCGACATTTTTTATGCGCTTTTGAGCAAATTAGATTTCCTAATTAAATTTTCTAGTGAAATGCGCATAAATTTCATAAAATTCACTTCGTCCTCCGCCCTAACGTCCAATCCCCCGCCCCCCGCCCCCCGCCGCCCCACTCTCTGCTCCCCGCTCGGCTCTCATTTTCTCTCCTATCCGCAACTCACACATTTTCAGTGTTGTCGCCTTTCATTTGCTGCGACATTTTTCGCTCTGGAATTTTCGTATCGTCGTCTGCTTAAAGTAATTAACTAAGAAAATTTTAATTGCTAATATGTTGTGATGCATGTGCGTGTGTGTGTGTGTGTGTGTGTGTGTGTGTCTCTGTGTATGTTAGTATGCATGTTGGCATGTACTCTGTTTGTGTGTGTGGCATTGGCCACCCTCGACTTTTATGTTGGCAAAACTTTCAATAATAAAGCTGTGTGTGCTTTGTGGGTGTGTGTGTGTGTGTGTGTGTGTGTGTGTGTGTGTGCGTGTGTGTGTGCGCGTGTGTGTGCGTGTTTCACGTGTGTCCACGTATGCGTGAGCTCATTAAAAGTGCGCTGGCGCAAGTGGCAACCTACAAACACAAAATTAATGTTGCCTACTTTTGTGCGCACAGAATTAACTAATTTCGCACATTTGCTCATCATCATAATTGTATAATTAGATTTATACAACACATAAACACAGTGTTGATTAGCGTCACGCTATCATATAATATTCCTTCCGCCAGCTCAACCTCAATTCAATTGAATTCAAATTGAACTCAACATTTAGCCGAATATGGAACTTAATTAGAAAACAGATCGTTGCCAATAAATTGATGTTGGATATGAATGATGGAATGTTTACCGGTTGGTTATGCAAGATTAAAAGGTTCAAGTAATTTGAGCATTTATTATACTTACTTAACGAGCACTCAAATATGAAAACTAAGTGGCCTAAAAAGTTGAAAATTTAATTGAACCTTCTGCGTATATGCATAATTGAACGTATACAATACACACCTTTAATACTGTTATTGTCTTTGGGTATTTGGTAAATTGCCTTTGCCGCGTTTCGATTGTAATTCAAGACGGCCAAAATCGCATTCATTACACGATTCCACAAACAAAATGCGACTCGTTTTTTACGCATATTTAGTGGAAAATATGCGTCGACTTGCTCTCGCCTCCCCCAAACTGAATAAATTCAAACGAAGCAAGTAAGAATGCTGCGTTCGAGTGAGTTCGACTACAGTATACCCTACGGTATATATATATTAAAGATATTCTAGTTTTATTTCCAAATTCACATGTAAAAATTCTAGCTTTATTTATGCATATGCTGATAGTACTGATAGTAATGAGAATTTGCTTGTTCGGTTATGACATCGGTTTTACTCATCCGATCATTAATGAAATGATCAATAGTATATATCAATGTATATTATAATTATATTAATTAGCAGCCTAAATATGATGTGATATGAATCGATCCAATAAAGCAAAGTTGATCCAAACTTGAAGTCATCATCTCTTATAGTCTCTGAGATCCGCCAGACCAAGACCAAGAATATATATGTATATATGTACTTTGCGGGGTCGGAGATGCTTCCTTCTGGCTGTTACATACTTTTGCACAAAGCCATTATACACTACTTATGAAAGTAAAGATAAGTGTAAGAAGAGCAACAACAACAATAGATGAGAAGGATACACGTCAGCGCTTCACTTGAACAACTCGACAGAGACAGCGACAGCGACAACAACAGCGAAAATAATATATATATATATATGTATATATATATGCTTCTACTTAATTTTCATATCGAATTTCAATGCGAATTGGTTTGGTAGACTGGCACATGAGTATGCGGCATGTCTGCTGCTGCTGCTGCTGCTGCTGCTGCTGCTGCTTCTTCTTTATGTTGTTGTTCCTCTTGTTTTTGTACTTTCCCAAAAACTGTGAATGCCGCTGACAAAACGATGCTGTTGTTGCCCCCCTCTCTCTCTCTATCTATCTCTCTCTGTCTCTCTCGTTTGCTATGGACACTCCTGGGATCCGTGGATTTCGCTGTATTCGCTTTGCTGTTCGAAAATTGGTTTTCCGGGTGCATCAGTCTTCGATTTGCCTATTGAAAGGCAGCTTCATTTTGCTTTGCCGGCTTCAGCCAAGTGGCGTGTTTTTTTTTTTTCCAGCGCTGATCAGCGACGAGAGAGACGAGATTCGATCCTCCTCCTTGTGCCTGTGAGCACTTGGCGCTGGCAAGCAACTAAAAAAAACAACATTAACAGCCACCTCCATGTGGGTCTGTCAACGCTCATCATTATTGCCGCCGTCATCGGCGTCCCATCCTCATCGGAATCCTCAAACACTCGGCAGCCGCTTTCACTTTCCCCCATTTGAGCGGGTCATGACAATGTCAAGTGGAGTTTTCCTTGAAAGAGCAGCGAGAGAGAGAGAAGAAAAAAAAAGGAAGTGAGAAACTAGATACAATTATTAAATATTTAAAATAACAGACAACCCCAGCTGATTGCCAGACCAGTCAGTGGAAAGAACAACAAAAGAGCAACATGCACAACAACCAACAACAAACTAAATATAACACAGAACCACTTAAAGTCGCGCTTCAGCGCCGACTACAACTTGACATGTGCTTGATTCGGTTCAGCATTGGGGCTAGGTGGCTAGGGGCTCTACGGTAGGGGGGGTGGAGGTAGTGGTGTGGTAAGGTTTTCATTGTGTAGGTCATGGGAGCACCGTTGAAAATGCTGCGAACCAATTTTGATAAGGAAGTGGCGACACACAGAAAGTGAGAGAAACGAAAACTGCTCGTTGCCAGTCGGTTAAAATTGAAATTGAAATTGGCGAGGCTGAAGTTGAACAGCAGAAAAACTCGAATCGAAAATGATTTTATACATTGTACTAGTCACACACCGTATTCGAGTTTTTATCGGAGTAGTACATAGTTCAAGTTGCAACATTGACTTTAAATTGATTGTAAAAATGATGTGGCCAAAAGTGAAATTGAAAACGGCTGCAGTTAATATTCAATTGGCAATGTGTTGGCTAAATGAAAAGCATCATTAGCCTATGCGTATTCAGATACATTGATGTATTATGACACTGACAGTTTTACAAATAAAATTCATTTTAACACGGCACAATTTGCGTTGATTGAATTAATCAGTCCTCACAGTAAATGTTGTTAAATGTATTTTGATGTTGCATTTTTCGGTGTATTATTTTATATGTGTTCATAGTTGCTTTCTAAAAATTATTATTCACATTGAAACTTATTTGTATGGTATCGGCTGTAATAGAACAGTAATAGGCAGAAGAAAGCATCTCCGACACCATAAGTTATATGCACATATTCTTGATCAGAATCAACAGCCGATTCGAGAGAGAGAAGTGCGTCTGTATAAATTCGGAGATCTCAGAGACTATATGAGACAGGGACTTCAAATTGGGAATTAAAGTTCTCAAATGCCCCGCGCATATCAAGAATATTTCATTATCGCGAATATCGATTCATATCGATTTCCGATAGCTATAAAATTCTTTTTAAATCTAAAATCTGCTTTAGCAGTTTTTCCATCTATACTAATTTATTATTATTATTTATTATTTATTGAATTTATTTTTACTTATCATATTTTCAGAAATACAGATTCAAGATACATTCTATTTATTTATTTGCAGGCTCACTGGCTGCCAAGGACTTTGGCATGGATGGCTTGAACGGTTTTGGTGTTGGCGCTGGTGTTAGCCCAAATAGCAAGAAGAAGAAAAAGAAGCGTCGCCACAGCCGCACAATCTTTACCAGCTACCAGCTGGAGAAGCTGGAGGAAGCCTTCAAAGAGGCGCATTATCCCGATGTCTATGCTCGCGAGATGCTGTCACTGAAAACGGAACTGCCCGAGGATCGCATACAGGTGAGTCACACACTGAATGAATGTGTGTGCACAAATGAATGTTGAATGAGGCATGAGGCATGAGGCATCAGTATGGGGTAATCGGATATTATGCCTATTGTTCTCGTCAGTGCCAGCAAACGGACTGCTCTGCGGATCTATCCTTAATGAATTAACAAACTAATTACATCCGCCTTTCTGTTTCTTCGGAAGGTGTTACCTGTTGGCAAAACAGAACAACAACGTCAGCAACAAACACATACGAAACCAGACGACGACAATGATTTTGCTAAGCTTGGCCGGGAAAGGGGGGTAGTTTGGGACGGTGGTGTGGTGGGGGGGGGGGGGGGAAGGTAGGCATACAGAATTTGCATTTCCTTTCTGTCTCATTGTCATTGTTTGGATTTCTGTGCGCTGATTTTTCACACCTTCATTGTGTATGCAGGCACATCATCATCATTGTTATTATCAGTCCTGGTCCTGCTTAATCTTTGCGTCTCAGTTGCTGCATTCCCAATAAGCAATTCAACTCAGGAGCTGCTCAAGTGCAGCTCCAACAGCCGCTCAAAATAGCTGCATGCATTGAGTCCTGTCCCTGCCAGAGTTCCTTGTGCAAAACTCAATGGGCCAAGCATTGGTCCACAGCCGCGTCAACGTGCTGCCTTTTGGGAAAAAGGGGAAGAACGGAGGAGGATTGCGGTGGGGCTACAGAAGAAAAAAATCAGCCACGTTTGCGAATTTATAATTAAGCATTTTAATGGCCGTTATTGTTCTAGCCAAATGTCAGCAGCAGCAGCAGTGCGAGCGAAACAGAGCACAGAGCACCGCCTGAGAGCAAAAGGGAGAGTCTAATTGCAAATGTGTGTGTGTGTGTGTGCGTGTGTGTGTGTGTGTGTGTGTGTGTGCTTTTATCGAGTGAACTTGAACGCCACCAAATTACCACCCTTAAAAAGCTCACAAATTTCATGCGCTCTCTCTTTCTCTCACTTTCGCATTGTGTTTGATTAGCAGAAGAAATTATCAAAAAAACAAAAAAAAAAATAAAAAAAAACTGTGTGATTATGACGCGGTTACTGCAGCCCCTTGCCCCTCCCACTCCGGCGGCCACAGTGCGCCTGTATGCCCAAACAAAATTGCCCTTTTACCCGCATTGAATGCGCCTATCTCTCTCTCTCTCTCTCTCTCTCTCTCTCTCTCTCTCTCTCTCTCTCTCTCTCTCTCTCTCGCACCCTCTCACTCTCTCAGTCGACCATAGGCCACAGGAGGAGTAGTGGGGGGAACGCGAGGTGAACTGAAAGTGGGACGGGCTACAGATGGTACGTCCTCGTTCTCATTGTCCTCTCAACTCATGCTAATGGCTGGGAGGTGACTCAAGTGCCCAGGCACTTAGCTCAAGCTAAGCTGGCGACTTGACTTGGGGCACAGAAACTGGAGACTGCGTCTGGCTGAGATTACGGCATCGAAAGACATTGCCTTGCGTGTGCTGGAATTAAAAAAGAAAAAAAAAATGAAAAAAAAAGAAGCCAACTAATCGATAACTGGCAAATTAAATCACTTTTTATGGCTACCTATTTAGATTATTATTCATCTTATTTTGTATTGTATCTGAAACATAATACATAAATACTATCGTACTTAATTGCTGCCAACGTTTAACAAGATCTACAGCTGAATGCAAGCAATTATAGCCACATATATCCATCGATAGCACAGTTGCAGTTGCAGGTGTGCCCAGCTAATGCTGCCAAGTGCTAACTCGCCTGGCAGGTTATTCAATCTGCATTGATTGGTTACTCTATTGAAAATGCATAATCATAAGTATCGATTTACAATTCCTATTTAGTTGCATACTGTCAACATTATTAACTTACTAACCAGCACCAAATCCTTTGCGGCAACACCACTCAGCATTGCGATCACCCCTTTGCTTGTTCTTATTGTCACCAGTTCATAAGGCACCTATCACCTACCACCCTCAGCCAGCCCCCCCCCCCCCCCCCCCCAGTTCACTCCGCTTTACCCCGCTAACAGTCCTTTGCTAATACTCACTTACTTAGCCCATAGTTTCAACGATGGCATCTACAACACCCTCAACTTCTGGTTGGAAATTGAATTTCGAGTGTGTAAAATTTTCCAATTATAGACTTTGGAGCAGCATACACGCACACACACGCATACATCCACTCATACTAACGCATGTATGTATGAGTGGGCACTTTGAAGGAGTTTTGCTGTTGGCTTGCTTGGGGACACATGAAGCGTTGCTAAAAGCGAGTCCAATTAGTGGCATTACAACTAACACTTCAATTCTGGCCCAGAGTCGAGTCGAATGCCTTGTTCTCTCCCTCTCTTTCTCGCTTTCTCTCTCTCTCTCTCTCTCTCGCTCTCTGTCTGTCTTCCTTTCTCTCTCTCTCTCAGTCGGTCTTACGCACTTGCCTGCTCTCTCACTTACTTGGCAATAACGGCAATAGTCATCAGCAGCAACAACAACAACAACAAATGAGGCAATGGCGCCAAAGTACGGCCATTTTGTGTGTAACTGTTGTTAGGATATGACAGAGGCGAGGCGGTGTTGTTGGGGGTTGACATGGTGGGGCTAAGGGTGGGCAGGGATGGGACTGAAGCTGATGGTTATGGGCAATGCTGCTTGGCGTAAATTTGCATTTAACGTTGTTCGCGGTGCCCGCAAATAGTCAACGACTGTCTTTCAATATATAGTCGTGTGTGTGTATATGTACGTGTCTCTGTGTGTGTGTGTGTGTCTGTAAAGCTAGTGTTGCTTACAGGCATGTGGGTGTTGTGTCTACACATCCACACTAACGCTTAGAAAGCCGCAAAATACTCTAAAGACCAAACGACCGCAACGCAGCAGAGGAGTAAACTACGACCCCAAACACACACACACAGACACACAAACACACACACAGACACACACACAAATACACGCACAGCAAACTGCCTGCAAATGTCATGCAAAATAACGGCACTATTTGTATGCGTGTGTGTCTGTATGTGTGTGTGCATATATGTTTGTGTGTGAATTTTCGCAAAAAAGCTTTTGAAATTGACTTGATGGCAATGAAGGAGCCCGAAAAACTAACAACAACAGCCACACACAGACACACAGACACACAGACACACAGCCAGCTCAGCAGGCACAGGCAGAAACATACACACACACACACACACACAAACACACACACACACACACAGATAGAAAAGCTTGCTTGCCTGTCGCATGTGGTGCATATTTTCAGGCACTTAAGCTATTTGCCTGAAATGTGCACAACAACAAACAGGCACACACACTTGCACATGGACAGACAGACAGACAGACACACACACACACTGAATTATCATGTACAGATGCAGCTTACACGCCTCCATCGCCCACACAAACAACAAAAACTGAATACGCCCAACAGCCACCCACATTTGCAGTTCAACCCAAAAAAAGCACTCGGTATTGATTTTAATTGAAAAATTGTTAATTTTCCATGCCAGTGGCAGCAGCAGTAGAAGCAGCAGCAGAAGGCGACAGCAGCCACGCCCCTACCTAGCACACACACACACATACATATATATATATATATATATATATATATATATATATATATATGGCGGTAACACAGCTCTTCAACCTTTTGCCAAGTGAACTTTTTGTATACTGCCAATTTTACAACTGCGAGCGCGTGTGTGTGTGTGTGTATGTGTATGTATATTTGTATATGTGTGTGTTAGTTCGTATGCTGTTGTTGTTGCTGTTGTTGCTGCTGCTGCTGTGTTCTGTGGCTGGGTAATTACACAATTGTGTGTGAATAATTTCCAACCCCGCAGCGTGGACCAAAACTCCTGGCGAAATATTCATTTGCCTCGGATTTTGGTCTTTTGAGACTGAGTTTGAACATTAAATTTTCGTCGAGTGGAAATTCTACACACGTTAATTTTTATAGTTTAAACTATATATACACTTATATTAATATTATATATCAGACCCTGAGTAGTAAATTAAAAGTGCTTAAGCTAAATTCGAGGGCTTTTAAATATATTTGATAAATACTTAAAATTTAAAAAGTGTTGTTTATTTATTATTTATTTAAAATAGCAAACGTGACCAATACATTTGCATATGTTTCTATGTGAATGTCCATTCCATTATATATATATATTCTTTCTGTTGCTAACAAATGCTTACTAAAGATTTCAACAAAGAGCTGATGAGCAAAGCATTTCTACACTCAAACAAAATTGTTGAAAATCGCGGTAAAATTTAATCGCACCAACAACAAGAACAATATTCTTATTATATATAAGCAATTTGCCAATTTTGAAAAGAAAGGCTTTCTTTCGCTTTCGTAAATTTATTTCTTAATAATAGGAAAATTATTTTTTAATATTGCGAATTTTTATCGAATTGCGAAAGAAGAATCTCGGATCTCTGAAATGAGAAAAGAGAAACCCTGGTTATTAGAAATATGTCTTCTGGATAATACCAAAAGTTTTGTGAATTTCTAAAATTCAGAACCATTTTTGTTGAGTGTAAAATTGCTCAGCTATGCTGTGTCTGAGACAGCAGCAGATTTAGCACATTGCAATTGGCAGACTGATCTTCAAATTGGCATCGGAGGGGGGGACAAACAATTTGAATACCTTTTCGAGTAGGCATTCTCAGGCATATCCAGTCAGTCAGTCGGTCAGTCAGTCGGTCAGGTGGAGCGTCAGTCGTGTTCCGCTGAAAGTCTGTGGCCTTTCAACTAATTTCAATGCGCTACTAAAGCCAGCCTACAAGTTCTACGAAACTAATTTACTCAAGTGCCGACGCGTCGTGGGGCAGACCAATCGGCAACAACAACAACAACAAGAAGAACGATGCACTCGACAATGGCTGCATGGAGGCTGAATGAAGCTTTAGTTGGTCTCTCGTTCGAAAAACAGAAAACCAGATACAGAAATAAAAAATGAAATGTGCAATCGTCATTGGAGTTTTGGAGTAGCTGCGACCCGATTGGCAGCTTCGAAAC